CAGTTGCATTTTGTCGTTATCAAGTGATGCAGAGGTTTTTTTTGTCTCTTTGTCACACAGGTTTTCTGCAAAGCTGCTGCTTCTGCTTGTGGTCTGCCCTGCCTTAAAAGGCTCACAGAGCTTCAGAACAGGTAAATCCTCACAGAAACCGAAAGTGGAAAAGCGGTATTTCCCTCCTGAACCGTCCCGAGTAAATGTCTTAGCTGGTGTTACAATGGCCACTTCCACCGGCTTACTGTTGGCCTCACACTCCGGTGGGTCCAGCTTCTCCTTCAGACCGGTGGAGTCTGCAGAAACTGACTGAACCTCCTTCACATACTGTGCAGGGACATAAAAGGGCCTGGTGTGCTGGTCTTTGCAGACGTGCCACCAGTGCTCGTTAGTCTTGGAGAGCAGGATGTAGCTTTCATTCGTCTTGATGGAGACGAGGCGACCGTCCTTCCCCGTGTATTCAAAGTCAAACTGCACCAACACGAGCTCCATGCTCCTGTGTAGCCTCTGTGTTACTGCCGCTGCAGGGTTAACATCCTGGAGCTGCTGGAACATAAAGGAAATGAGAAGTTAATGTGGGTTTCAAGAAGAGGCCCACTTAAATGTCAGACAGAAGCTCACAGTTCATTCTATAACAACTATAAGAGTTTGTAACCTCTTCTTCAGCTCATGGCAAAACAATATGCAACTTTCTCTAACATTTAAAAACACTTCTCCAGCCCTCTGACTTTGCAGCAACCTCCCCCTCCAAGTTTAAAAATTGCTTTTTAAAGCTGGGGTTTTGTCTCCCTCAGGTCATTTCCTCCCCCTCCCCCCTCCTTTTGTTATGCCTTTGTGAAAGTTTCTCACATCAATTTTCATAGTTGCTGTTTGTGCAGTATTGTGTTTTTATTTCTTTCACATCAATTTGCATCTGCTCTTGTATCGTAAAATCATTTTTTTTGGGGGGGGGGGGGGGGGGGGCTCCAACCAGCTTCCAGCAGGGAAATGAGAGTGCTGTGAGATGGGGCCTTCTTAGGGAGGTTTCCTACCATCATTGTAAATTTTGAATATTATGGGTCGCTGCTTTAGTTTACATTTGGTCAGCACTCTGGGGTCCCCCTATATTGGTCTGGGGCCCCAAGCAGTTGCCTGCCTTGCTTGTTGACAAGCAGCGCCTCTGTTGTTGTTTTATTGTCATTCTGCATCTGTTTGTGTTTTTTTTTGTGTCCCTTTTCACTTTTCTGAGGGGAAGTTTTGTGTCACTTTGTAAACCTTCTATCTCTCAATGTGGTTATTTGGGTCTTTCTGTTATTGTTGTTGTTGTTGTTGTTATTGGTGTCATTGTATCTGCCATTCATTAAAAAATCTATTTTGTAGTTCTTTTGGTGTATAGTATTTTTGTGTATTTGTAATCCTTTTACATCTCACTCTGTCTGTGTTGGGTCATCCTGTGGTTGTTGTTGTTTTCTCTTTCTCTTTTTTTTATTGCATGTGTCTGTGGTGCTTTACTGTCTCATCCTTACCCTCTAGCCCAGCGGTTCTCAACTGGTATAGCCTCAGCCTTCAACGATCAAATTTATTCATTTTAAAAAAAGGTGAAGTTTCTATTTCAGATCAAAAATCTAAAACGTGTGTTTCCATTTTTGCTCCTCCACTAATGAACAAAACCAGGCGTCCATGCTTATAATGACAAAGCAACCGGGCGGCTGTGGCTCAGTTGGTAGAGTCGTCATCTCTCAACGAGAAGGTCGTGGGCTCAATTCCCCCCAAGCAGCAACAAGGTGTCCGACGTGTGGGCAAGACAAGACACTTGTCAGTGTCACACTTCACGTACAAATGGGATTAGTTACTTCAGATGATTTCACTACAGAGCAACCGCTGCTGTCAGTGTGGCGATGGGTGTGAGTGTGTAGGTGTGACCTGTGGTGGAAAAGCACTTTGCAAGCTCAACTTTCCATTTTCCACATATCAAACATGTTTTAAAAAGTGCTTTATGACACACTTTTCTTCCAAACATTCACACCCCACTCCACACTGTTTGTTCAGTGTAGCTCTTCAGAAGAATTCTCTCTCTGTCACTAAACTGCTTCTATGTCTTCTTTTATATTTGGTCATTTGTCATGAATTTAATTGCTGCCTTTCCCCATCATAGCTGGTGTCTTTTTCTCTTTCTTAGTGATTGTTTAATTGACTTGAGTGACTTTAACCCTTGAGCTTTGGCCTGAAAGGACGGCTCAGTAATCCATCCTTAACCAGCGCTCGATATGATCACAAGAATGCAGCTTAACAAGTAAGATGGATGCAATTTGGAGTTAAGAGAAAGAACAAAAGGCTGACGGAGTCAAAAGCCGCCTTATAGACAGGAAGCTGCTTCTATTTGCTGCAAAAAACATCTTCAATGTTAAACTCACTCACGCAGACCACGAGAGCATCAGCCTGAAAAGTTCCCCCGCCACAAGACAGGAAGCCATGCACCAACCTTGCCTTGGCATCGGTCCCACGTCAGGCTGCAATCACAGTTTGTGTTATCAGGCTTCGATGTGTCCATGAAACACTAACGGTGAGCATTTTCAACCGTTTGTCGTTTCCTACAGCAACAACACAGACAATACAAAGAAAGAAAAAGGGTTTCATAGTGAGTGGATGTTTAATTCACAACATTTTCAAACTAGCTTTTTGTAAGATAAATGATGAAATGTATGATATTTTAAACACTTTTCATATATTTTACATTGTATCTGCAGCTGAAAAGTTATAGAAATTACCTTTAAACCAGAACACAAACATGACTTTAAAGCGCTCGAGGACTCATCTGAACAGGTTTTATTCACACTATCATGTTCAAATCGTACATGTTATATCCCTTTACAAAAGTTAGGGAAGATCAGTGCAACTCAAATGAATTAGAACAGATTTTCAAGCTAAAAACAGACTTAACTATGAGTGAAATCTCATCCCAGACTTTGATACCCTCAGGCTTCATTTGGGGATTAATATAACTTGTACTTGCCTGATTTTGTTTCCAAATATTTCCAGTCATTGGATGTCTCTCTAACGTCCTTGAAGCTGATCTGAATCAGAGCAGTGTGAGATGTAGAGCTCAAACTGCTGCTGCTGCTGCTGCTGCTGCTGCCTACATGTACTGTTTCTACTGTCTGACACACTCTTGTTTCCTGTTGTGTGTGTGTGTGTGTGTGTGTGTGTGTGTGTGTGTGTGTGTGTGTGTGTGTGTTTCTCTCTACAGAGACAGGCAGCTGATGTTACATTATAGCACTAAAGGCCACAAGAAATGGGAAGTGTGACTGACAATAGTTCCTAATGCACTCTTGATATTTGTGTATTCTTTTTATGGCGTCTTGCTCACAGAGGGGAGGAACAGATTGGCAAAGAGGTGACTCATTATTGACATTACAACACAGAAATACTAAAAATACTACAATAAAACATGTTCAATTAAAAAGGCTAAAATGCTTTTATTTTGAAAAGATACACGGTCAAGCTTTTCCAACTGAATAAATGATGATACCATTATGACTGTAAAACAAACCTCAGACCTAATGACTTAATGTCCATTGATTTGTAAATGTACATGCTTTTATTGTTGCTGTCAGCTGAGCACTGACTCAACTAAATGTGGAGGGTGTATGGTATGCCCCCTGCTGGATTTCCAAGTGAAATACAGTCAACCACGCTTTAAAAAATAAAGGTTGTAAATATAATTATTCACTTCTAAAGCTGTGACTTTATACTCGTGAATTGTTTTGGCCCAGAGTTATAGAAATGTGACTAAATGTAAGTTCTTACACGATTTCACAGTAACCGGTGATCCGTTTCGTCATCATGAGTCTTACATCAGTGAAGAAACTCACCAAGCTTTGAAGTCGCCGACACCACAGGACGCTGGTAGACAAAGTTAACGCTGCAAAACAAAGCAAGACTTGTTGTCCACTCTTTGAATAATTTTTGACTTTAACAATATAGGAAGCCCCACACAAGGCAGGGCATCAAAAAATTAGATTGAACTCATAATGTTCCTCTCCACGGAAATCTTTAGTAAAAGGCGAAAGATTTATACGATCTGAAGAGAAACTTGAGTGTACTGAAGAGAAAAGGATCAAGTATAAAGAGTCATTCTCCTGGAGACACTTCTCACTCACGGTTTAGTGGTCATGACATGAGACTGTGATTACTGTACACATTACATTTTGCAGGTTTGACAACACATAATACACTTATTTAGAAACATGATTAAGTTGACTAGAAAGATTATAAAAGCCATATGTGTGTTTTTGCTCAATGAACAATGTATTTATCCAGAACAACAATTAGAGAGTTTAGATCCAATTTCAAAAAGTGTTGATAACATTAAAATGCTGTGACATCAGTTTTTATTTCTTTTATTTTTGATGTGTATGTATGTCTGTGTATTCATTTCTAAAGATGTTGCTGCTTCTTTTCTTGGGGGTATTTTATTTTTCTTCATCTTATGTTGAAAACATGTTTGTTGAAATGAAATAACCATATGAATGAAGCAACTCTTTGAAAAAAATAAAAACAAAGTATATAAAAAAAAAAAAATGCCGTGACATCAAAATAACACTTTATTTTTCTTAATTTGATGTTAAATATTTAAAACATATAGAACTGATTTAACTTAAATACAAAATATTTGAGGTAATAACTACAGAAAAGCATTAAGCAGCATTACCAATAGTGTACCGTAATTGTTATATCTATCCTTTATTCAGCCACTTTCATTCTTTCTGTGCTTTTAATAGATATCTGGTTCACAATCCTGATTTGTTTCTCTATTTTTATACAGTAACAAAGTATGAACAAACAAACCAAGAGAACTTCTGTTACACACGTCATTCAGTACACAATAGTGGATCATATACAACGATGTTGATTCTTAGGTGAAATTAATTGATTTATATTTTAGACATTTTAGGAAGCCCCGCATGAAGCAGGGCATCAAAAAATTAGTTTGAACTCATAATGTTCCTCTCCACGGAAATCTTTAGTAAAAGGCGAAAGATTTATACGATCTGAAGAGAAACTTGAGTGACTGATGAGAAAAGTAACAAGTATAAAGAGTCATTCTCCTAGAGACACTTCTCACTCACGGTTTAGTGGTCATGTCATGATTGATTTACTGTACATGTTGTTTAAAGTGAAGGTTTGAGAACACACAATACACTTATTTAGAAACATGACAGAGTTCATTATAAACGACAAACATTTCATTAAGTTGACTAGAAAGATTAGAAAGGTGTGTTTTTGTTAATTCAATAATGTATTTATCCAAAACAGCAATCAGAGAGTTTGGGTTCAATTTCAACAAGTGTTATGTTATAATGTTAAAATGATTATTCTGGTGTTAAATGTTTTAAAACATATAGAACTGATTTCACTTAAATTTGAAATATTCTAGGGTATAAATGCAGAATAGCATTAAGCATTTGGCTACACGATTAGCAAAGAGTTTACATAGAATAGAAAGTTTATTTATAAAGCACATTACAGGTAAGCTCAATGTGCTTTACATTGATGATAACAACATAGGAATACACAAATAAAGCAATATGAATCATGAATATGATACAAAAATCAAGTTAGGAACAAAACAAAACACTAACACATACCCACATGTACACAAATAGTTACCTTTCGTATATTTGAGACAATAGATAGGTTTTAAGTTTAGCTTTAAAGTAGAGATAAAAGTTAAGACTCAAATGTAGCTCATTAAATGTAGCTTGGTTTGAAATGTTTATTTAGTTTATACAGTAACAAACTTATAAACATATTACCTCTGAATTACCTTTTCTACAAATCAACAAATTACATTTTTTAGGAGTACTGATGGCAAAGCTACGTAGTAACGAAATCCGCCTACGTCATCATGTTACGTCACATGACGTCTGACCGTCTTGAACGTTATTTCTTGGTATTAATTTCAACAGTGTAGGAAGCCCCGCACAAGACAGGGCATCAAAAAATTAGATTGAACTCATAATGTTCCTCTCCACGGAAATCTTTAGTAAAAGGCGAAAGATTTATACGATCTGAAGAGAAACTTGAGTGACTGATGAGGAAAGTAACAAGTATAAAGAGTCATTCTCCTAGAGACACTTCTTACTCACGGTTATCATGAGATACATGACAGAGTTCATTATAAACGACAAACATTTCATTAAGTTGACTAGAAAGATTATAAAACCCACAGGTGTGTTTTGGTTTATTGAATAATGTATTTATCCAAAACAGCAATCAGAGAGTTTGGGTTCAATTTCAACAAGTGTTGATATCATTAAAATTAATCAGGTGTTAAATAGAATAGAATAGTATAGAATAGAATAGAATAGAATAGAATAGAATAGTATAGAATAGAATAGAATAGAATAGAATAGAATAGTATAGTATAGTATAGTATAGTATAGTATAGTATAGAATAGAATAGAATAGAATTACTTTATTGATCCCAAACTGGGAAATTGTGGCGTTACAGCAGCAGGTTATCAAACACACAATATGAGTAAAAAACACAATGTTATCAAATCTAAACATAATATAATATTAAATACAAAGTAAATAAGCACTAAAAAATATCAAAACTAAGAATGTGAATATATACAACCAGGATTTAACTAAGCATTACTAGTCTTAAATAGGAAGATTAAATGTACATGTGCAAAAACAGAATCGTAGATGATTATAAATTAAATATGAAAGATTAAATGTAAATGTGCAAAAACAGAGTCATAAATGGACAGTATTGACATAAGTTAAAGTGCAGGAGTGTAGACATATAATAAGCAGAAACTATACAATATAACGGTGAGTAGACAGCCAAATGAAGTGAACATGAGTGCAGGGATCATTTGTAAATTTAACATGTGCAGAACAGATTACAGTAAAGGAGAGACAGATGTTATCATGATGACAGTTCTCTGCTCGCATGAGGTGAGCTGTTGTACAGAGTTATGGCCTTCGGTAAGAAAGATTTCTTGTGTCTGTCCTTGTGACAGCGGAGTTGTATCAGTCTGTTGGAGAAGCTGCTCCGCTGTTTGTCCAGTAGGGTGAGCAGAGGGTGATCAGGATTATCCATCATGGATAACAGTTTGTTAAGAGTCCTCCTCTCTGTCACAACTATAAAATAGTCCAGCTTGCAGCCTATCACAGAGCAAGCCTTCTTAATGAGTTTGTCCAGTCTCTTAGTGTCACCAGCTCCAATGCTGCTCCCCCAGCAGACCACAGCAGAGAACAGTGCACTGGCCACAACAGACTGATAGAAGATCTCCAACATCTTGCTGCACACGTTGAAGGATCTCAGCTTCCTCAGAAAGTAGAGTCGGCTCATTCCCTTCTTGTACACAGCCTGAGTGTTGTCCTGAATCATGAATATGATACAAAACTCAAGTTAGGAACAAAACAAAACACTAACACATACCCACATATACACAAATAGTTACCTTTCGTATGCTTGAGACAATAGATAGGTTTTAAGTTTAGCTTTAAAGTAGAGACATACGTGAAGACATAAATGTAGCACATTAAATGTAGCTTGGTTTGAAATGTTTAAGTTCAAGTTATCTTTATTAGTCAAATTAGTTTTGTGTTCCAAGCTCTCCTGAAGAATGCAAAAATAAAAAATAGCATAGAAGATAAGAGTAACAACGTACAGTGCAACTAAGAACCAAAAACAGTAAATACAAAATTAAATAAAACTAGAATATATGTACAGTATATATATGTAAATATGTATGTATAGAATATATATATAGAACATTAAAGTAAAGTGTATTTGGTTTATACAGTATCACATTAACCAAAGTCTTAGGATTGTAACTGAATTACCTTTTCTACAAATCAACAACTTACATTTTTTGTTTAGTACTAATTGCAAAACTTTGTAGTAGCGAAATCCGCCTACGTCATCATGTTACATCACATGACGTCTAACTGTGTTACATGCTTTTTCTCATTATTTATTTCAACAGTATAGGAAGCCCCGCATGAAGCAGGGCATCAAAAAATTAGTTTGAACTCATAATGTTCCTCTCCACGGAAATCTTTAGTAAAAGGCGAAAGATTTATACGATCTGAAGAGAAACTTGAGTGACTGATGAGAAAAGTAACAAGTATAAAAAGTCATTCTCCTGGAGACACTTCTCACTCACGGTTTAGTGGTCATGTTACAACTTACTGTATTCGTTGATTAATATGCGTGAATGTTTAAAGTGAAGGTTTGACAACACATAATACACTTATTTAGATACATGATAGAGTTTATTGTAAACACATTTGATTTACTTGATTATAAAAGCTAATAAAACCCACAACACCAATCAGAGAGTTTGGGTTAAGTTTTGATATCATTAAAATGCTGTAACATCAATATCATTCTTTAGTTTCTTAATCTGGTGTTACATGTTTGAAACATATAGAACTGATTTAACATACCTTTTTAAATATTTTAGGGTATAAGTACAGAATAGCATTAAGCATTTGGCTACATGTTTATCAAAGAGTTTACATAAGTTAAGACACAAATGTAGCAAGTTATATTTAACCTACCTTTTTTTATTTCTTTTATTTATGATGTCCGGATCACAGCCCTGGTTTGATCAGTTTCTTGGTTCATACAGTAACAAAGCATTAACACCAAGTTATCTTCTCAAGCAAATAACATATTATATTTGTTGTATTTCTTTCAACAGTATAGGAAGCCCCGCACAAGGCAGGGCATCAAAAAATTAGATTGAACTCATAATGTTCCTCTCCACGGAAATCTTTAGTAAAAGGCGAAAGATTTATACGATCTGAAGAGAAACTTGAGTGACTGTAGAGAAAAGGACCAAGTATAAAGAGTTATTCTCCTGGAGACACTTCTCACTCACGGTTTAGTGGTCATGACATGAGACTGTGATTACTGTACACATTACATTTTGCAGGTTTGACAACACATAATACACTTATTTAGAAACATGATTAAGTTGACTAGAAAGATTATAAAAGCCATATGTGTGTTTTTGCTCAATGAACAATGTATTTATCCAGAACAACAATTAGAGAGTTTAGATCCAATTTCAAAAAGTGTTGATAACATTAAAATGCTGTGACATCAGTTTTTATTTTTTATTTGTTTTATTTTTGCTGTGTATGTATGTCTGTGTATTCATTTCTAAAGATGTTGCTGCTTCTTTTCTTGGTGGTATTTTATTCTTTTCTTCATCTTATGTTGAAAACATGTTTGTTGAAATGAAATAACCATATGAATGAAGCAACTCTTTGAAAAAAATAAAAACAAAGTATATAAAAAAAAAAAAATGCCGTGACATCAAAATAACACTTTATTTTTCTTAATTTGATGTTAAATATTTAAAACATATAGAAGTGATTTAACTTAAATACAAAATATTTGAGGTAATAACTCAAAAAAGCATTAAGCAGCATTACCAGTAGTGTACCATAATTGTTATATCTATCCTTTATTCAGCCACTTTCACTCTTTCAAAAAAGATATCTGGATCACAGCCCTGGTATGATTTGCTTCTCTATTTTTATACAGTAACAAAGTATGAACCAAATAACCGAGGACACTACTTTCCACACCGTTCAATACAACATGCAGTATAACAACAACATCAACACAAACGTAACAATGATTAACATTCCTTTCTTTACAACTGAGGAAACCCCGCTCTAGGCAGGGCATCAAAAAATTAGTTTGAACTCATAATGTTCCTCTCCACGGAAATCTTTAGTAAAAGGCGAAAGATTTATACGATCTGAAGAGAAACTTGAGTGACTGATGAGGAAAGCAACAAGTGTATCGAGTCATTCTCCGACAAACACTTATCACTCACGGTTTTGTTGGCTTACGACTTACTGTATACGCTTTTAAATATCAAGGTTTGAGAACACACGACACGATACAATTAGAAATACTTATTTAGACCATAGACTTTAAATATTAGATTTAGATTTGGACACAGGAAACGTATTTATTTTTTAAGAAATACGTTTTCAATCGTTTGAATGGTTCCGCGCGGTGCATGATGGGTACTGTAAGGGTAAATGTTTTACACATGGCATTTGTTTAGTTTTGCTTGCGCTTCAATCAAAGAAATCAAACATTTCATAAAAAAAAGTACTAACAACATTAAAAGTGACCGCAAATAACAAAGAAATTCAGATAAAAAAACCACGTGTTCGTAGGTTCGTACAAGAAACTTGCTAGTACGAAGATATGTGGGTAGTTTTAATAAAATGCAAACTTTTTGTGAAATTCTTTCGACTTTTTGTTTTATTTAAGTCGTATTTAAGTACCAACATATCCCCAAGAAACACTTAAGACGACAAAACACCAACACAAAGACTTGTGAAGCAGAGTCAATGCTCATTCAGACGCTTTTGTGTTCAAAACTTCTTCCTTCTTTTCTCCAAATGATTTGAAGGTGCATGTTGTTAAATGGGTGTTTACCATGGACTTTAAATATTAAGGTGATTACTCATATGATTACCCAGCAATCCTAGTGGCCAGACTTGTACCAACATGGGGAAACAATGTGTTTAATGTGTTGTAATATTTACAGTCTATGGTTTGAGCGTGGAAGAAAGTTCTTGACCAGAAGCACATTTTTGATTCAGGAAATATGGTCTTAGAAAGGATTGTAAAATCATTAGCCATTTATGTTATAATCCTACTCAGGCCATTTTCACAACCTGCTGTCCAATACAACTGGGTGCATCAGATTTCTCCACTTGTTACAAATAGAGGAATGCCTTCAAGCATGTTTCTAAATCTACAATATTTGGACTTGTTACCTTCATGACAATGATTACGTTCATCCAGTTGAATCTTGCCCTGCTCCCACTTGACAGGCCTATACATTCCTTTGAATACACATTCACATTTTGTTTCAGAAGAAAGGCTATCTGAGGGGGAAGAAGTGCAACGGGTGGTGCAAATGGTTAGTGCCTAATTCAGTTGTTTGGAGAAGTACCGGATGGTTTACAGATCAACAACACTTATCATAGCAGATATTTGTTTTCACTTCCCTCCTTTAAATTGAGTATGAAAATGCCGAGCTACATGTCTTAAAAAAGTTTACCAGCACACACACAGAAGAGTTTGGTTCAACACAAACGAGGTTTATTTGTGGTAGCGCCACACTTTCTTGATATAATCTGCAAAATTACAAAACTGCTGGTAATATGCTTACCAGCCCGATCTCTTAATTCAAATGCTCTTGATCACAATACATGAAGTTGTGTCGCAATCAGAATGTTAGAAGTACAACACACAAATGGCAGTTTTGTGCAAAAGAAAACATTATCAATACTGGAAATATGAGAAAATACAGTAAACATCAAAGTGGCAGGGCGTTCTGTGTAAATGTCAAGAGACAGTAAGTTATGATTTAGCTCAGAGGTGCAGTTAACAGCAGCACTGTGATTCAGTATTTTTTTTCTCCATGTTTTTAACAAACCGTCGAAACGAGGCCTGTAGCCCCGCTTGACTTTGACACTTTGAGAAGTTTCTGAAAGTGAGGGTGTTAAGACTGCACTTCACACCATAATTATGCTTTTTGAAAAAAGGGCACACCATTAAAGTTGTCACCTTGGTCCATCGACATCCGAAGGATTGTTTTGTTCTGCTTTATCTTTTGGTCATCTGTTCGTATATAAATATATGTAAATATTTTAATATAAAAATAAGGCAGGTTTTAAGTTCTCCCCAGTGGGATTTGTGATCCGACTGTGCACTTTTCCGTGTCCATAAAGCCACAAATAGCGTACTGGTTCATATTCTTGCACACACACAAAAGCAGTAAGACATCAGAAAATCCTTCAGCTTCACTTCCCTCCAATTATTTCAAACGATTGTTAAGTTAAGGTTAAAAGTGTCTTTGTGCAGCTCCCGACAGCTCCTCCAGTTCATATGGCCTTGACATCGATAAGGTGGCCGTGCTGGGCCCCTTGCCTCAGGGTCTTGATCCCCTGCAGCTTGCGGCCGTGTAGTGTGAAGCGAGACCAGGCGGCCAGCTGGAGCAGGGCACACGTGATAGGCACAAACACCACCATGTAGAAGCAGCCCAGGCGAAGAGGCGGAGTCCCTGAGCCGGCGGCAACGTCGGGCACCTTCACGGGTTCCCTCTCGAAAATATCGTAACCTGGAGACGAGAATCAAGAGGCTCTTTGATGTCAGCAACACACACATGAAGCAGTTTCACATGTTGAGCTGCTTTTTCAGAACTGTTGGCACGTTTCTTTTAAGAATATAAAAACAATCACACTACTAAAGTTGACCCTCGTAATTTAACAATTCAATTTTGATGACTAAGCTAATAAGTTAACGTACAATTTCACATAAGGCTTTATTTGAAGGGAATGATTGGCACTAAATAATGTCCCTTCTCTTAAAAGTTAATTGTAGTGTGGTACGTTTGTTTGCTTCCTTCTTGCAGTAAGAAGGTAACCGGCTCGATACTTCTTCCTTGTCTGAACTCTGATTAGGAATCTACATTCAGGAGTGTGTTAGCTTAGCTTAAATCGCAAAAAGACTGTAGGCAGGTAGAAACAGCTGGCCCTGTTTTAAGGAAGTTGTGGACACTCATGACTCAGAGAGACATTAACACAAGATATGCTTGATTCTTCTCTATTTATGTATTTCATGCTGCACATTCTTCCTGTAACTGAATACAAGAACACAGATCAGCATCATTTTGTGTCAGCCTCTAACACCTTCATAATATTGATATGAAAACTAAAAGGTTCACTCTGTCTACACAGTGGAAAGGATAAGAGCAAAGTGAAAGTAATCTTTGGTCTTTGGGCTTAAATGCATGACACAAAGACCAAACTTCTCAAATGTCATTAAACCAATTATTTAACAAAACATCAGCCATGGCGGGAAAAAACGCTCAGATGTTAAATTTCACACATGAGTCAGTTTGAGTACAGCTCTAGTTTGGACTGCTGACTGGATCTGGGTCAAGTTGAGTTAGTTTGGTTACGTCTTGTTTGTCCAGTTTAACTTGTTTGCTCTTCATAACGCGGGTCTCACTTACACAAACCCTTACCAACACTTTTTCTTTGACAGCCTATCCTCTAGATCATTTATTTACAGAAGGACACATGAACACATTCACCTGTAGCAGCATGTAAAAAAAGGTAAATATGTCTTCCATTTCTCATGAGGATACAATGTGTGTGTGTTTCTGTTTTTTACCTGTGTAAGCACACAGCAGCCAGGTGCCAATGAGTGGAGCGAATGTCTGGCCAGGTTTGGTCAAAAGGGCGACCATCCCGAAGAGGAGCGCAGAGGCGGCCTGCTGACGCTTGTTGACCACAAAGTCTTCATCCACCAGGTCGGTAATGACCAGCTTCAGCAGCTTGCACGTCCCTTCTGTGAACACCCGGTTACTGGAAACGAGAAAAATAAAAGTTAGGTTCCAGTTATTTAGGATGTATGAGCTGTAATGAGGTTTGTGATTTACTAGGGGAAGACGTTTTAGCTCGTCAGGGATCATTTCTAATGTCTCGTTTTGTCTCTGAGAAGGGGAATAGTTACATCTTCTGGCCTGACGTAGGAGATATTATACATACAACAACATATTGTTTGAGATGCACTGTTTCTATAAAGTACTAAAACCATTCCCCTGCACACTCCACCAGGGCTCTGCTGCTTAGTGCAAGACAAACACTGAAACTGTGACGTCCCCACTCTTAAGTTGAACCTTTTTTACTCTCCCTTTCTCCCATTACAACGAGAGTAAAAATAACTTTTTTATAGAAGGGGTTGTTTGGGGAATTCTCTCTTTTTTTAAGAATAAAGTGGTCATGAATGAAGGGTGTCAGATTTAAAGCTTCTTATGGGACCCACTTTGGGGTTTTTATTCTTCACTTTGTTTCGACTGCAGCCACTTCAGATGATTTATTCTAACATCTTAAAGGTCGACTGTCTGCACTGTTTGAGAATGAATGGATTGAAGTCGTTTTGGTCAGAGATCACCGACCTATCTGGTGTACCATTACAGGCATCAGGCACTATGTACATGTGTGACTGTCCAAGATGGAAGCATGAGACGCACAGACCTCCTCACTCTCCTAACCATCGCACTGTGCTGTAACGGTGCAGAACTCTTTAAACAGGTTCGCACTTGACAAACGCAGCAACCAGAGGGGGGCTGTTAAAGTCAACAGCTGCGTTGTAGTTCTGTCAGTTTCCACTTGATGTGGCTGTCACCTGTTGTATGTAATTAGAGGGAGCAGAATGTCACATAGAGACACATCTGTAGAAAATGGATCAGAGATGAAGTATAAACCATGACAAAGTGTAGCTTGGATCCCTTTTTGTGTATATTTTCAAAGTCAATGTGTCAAAAAAAGAAAAAAAACTTATCAGGGCTTGCAGCCTGAACAAGCAATTCTGTGTGCCAGAAGCATCTACTTAGAGCCAAGTCAACTTTTCCCAAGAATAAAAAAGATAACACAATGTTTGGATAGAACTCATGACAAATGTTGACTTAACCTCGGACACACTGCGATAAGAAAACAACTCAGAGCGTTTCTACGTGTCCTTGAAACTGCTTAGGTGCGTTTGTCTACTCAGCATGAAATTATACAACAAAAAAAAAAACAAGCAAACAGAAAGTTTACGCTGTCACACATCCGATTTCTGATGTGTGTGCTGCTGGTGTGTGTGCGTGGGCCATACCTAGCAATGAAGATGCACAGCAGATAAATGTGGTCAGCCCCTGCCAGCAGCATAGCCACACTAAGTCCCAGTTTGACCATAAATAGCCAGCGGATAACCTGGTAAACCCCGTAACGCTGGCACAGTGTCAGGAAATACAAGTTGTTCAGGTGGGGGGCAATGTAAGAGATCCCTGCGTGGGAGCAAAGCAGAGCGGCGTTAAAATAAAAGACTAACCAGCACAAAGAGGATCTGAATGTGAAAGAACAAAAAGCAAATGGATATGAAACATATTGACTTGTTTTCAATTGTAGTCTCAACTGTATCAGATTCTAAAATGCAGAAGATCTTCTGAAACTAGGCTCAAATGAATGACATGGATCCCTATATTTAATGTTTTACAACTTCAAAAAAGGCGTCAAAATCACTGATCACGGGTCAGCTTCAGGCTGCCAGCGGTGGTAAATCTTCACTCTCAGTGTTGTACAGGCATATAAACCAGAGCTGGAATGAAATATGAAAAATAATCGAACTTTTACTGCAAATGATCACATCTTCTTTGATCTCTTAAAACAGAGCCTAAGCCTAGCCTCAACAGTCCTGCTTTACTTACTGCACTGATCATTGTGTCTTATGTCTAGCAATAGACTTACCAAAAAAAAAAAAAAGACTGTAATGTGTGATTTATTTTTGTTGTCTTGAAATGGAATCTCACCCAGTAGGATTGACCCGGTGGAGGCAGAAATATTGTCAGACAGGAGATGCTCCAGGAAAAGAGGGAAGAAGTTGCTGTTAAAATGGCAGTGAAACACCTGCAGGGGGAGCAGAGACAACAGAGAGAGTGTTTCTGAGCAGATCAATGAAAACAACTGAACACTGCTGAAGACTGGACACATGAGAAATACAAGAGTATTTTAATATTGTTATTTCTAATATTCTTACGAATGCCCCCACATAAAAAGAGATTGCTGTAATATTACACACTTTCACATTGTCCTTATAGTCTACACTTATATATAGATTCATTTTTTATTTTAGCACATCTTCCCACTTTAACTCTACCTTAAATGTGGTTTCCTACCTGAATGAGGTTCATGGACACAAACCACAAGAAGTTCTTGTGTTTGGAGAGCTGCTTGATATACTGTCCGATAGTGACCGGTTTTTCTGGGTGTGTCAGTGGAGCGTGGCCGACGCTCAGGCTAAGTCAGAGCAAAAGAAAACAAAGAGCAAAGTGAGATAAAGAAGTGGAAAAACAAACACTTCAGTTCCAGAGAATATCCTCTTCTTTAGAAATCCTTACTCTTTGAGCGTCTGTGCCTCATCCAGCT